CCACCTAGTGGTCTTAGCAACAAACCAGCCAAGAACCCTACAAACATTCAGACAATGAGTCTTATTCATAAGGCCAAAGATGATAGTTTTAGTCCAAAGTCCTGAATTACAGTCCTTGAACCATCTCCAGAAAGTTTCCAAGTGTAGAGTTTTTCATGTAGCAGCTGTTTTTCTTCTGGGGCTTTATGGCCTTCAGAGTTTCTTGTCCAGGTGTCTTCATTACTTTTCTCTTATCCTGTGGTGTTTATTTCTAAAGAGAACTCAAAAGAAGCTTTTAGTAGTGTTTTCCAGGCCCCCAAGGTTACTTTCTGTCTTTAGCTAATTTATCATAAAAGTGTCTGATTAGTATATTATGAGTTCAGTGAAAACCCACTCTATAAGTGTTAACTTAGAGTTTTAACTATTGAATTAAGTAAAAACCTTAACGATTAATCTTTATCCTAAGTTAGTGAAAACAGTGTTATAAATCACCTACATGACTCCTAGATAAGTGTTAGAACTTATAATGAATTCATAATGAACTTACTATAAACTTGTGCTTCTAAAAAACCTTATGTCTAAACACTCAACTACATAATTCTAAATCAAATGAGTGAATATACTTATATCATTTATTACTTAAGCAATATCTAGTAACTTATAACCAAGTGGAAGAAAGCATTCTTGATGTGCCTCAGAATTTAACCCTTGCATATGTTAGAAAAGGCAAAGCGGCATAGTGGGAAAATGGAAAGATTAACCATGACATTCTCAGGTTAGCTGTGAGTACTTCGCATAAACATGCCATTTTCTTCTTCCACTACTGCACAGAATTTCTTCAGCTGTACCAACAGCAAAGGCAGAAGACAGAAGAGCCTCAGCTGCCCGGACTTGCTTTGCGGCCGGGGGTCCTCAGCGCACCTGGACTTTGTCAATCAGGTGGGCCTCCAAGGCTGGCTCCCAACAATTTATAGTTGTTGTTTGGGTTTTGTGTTCTTGTTTGTTTGTTTTTCAAGAAGAATTCTTGTTGTTAGCTTTGCAACCATCTGTTCTCTTGTGCTGCATGTTTTACCCAAGTCTTTAATAAAGGCAATATTCTTTTTTTAAAAAATTGCTGTCAATACGCTGATTCTTTTCATTATTAATGATGTAAGAAAATTGTTCTGAGCTCTGACTAAGCTCAAAGCACCTCCTTCCCCTTTGAATACATCCATTCTGTTTGAAATTGCCATGCTAGGCAGGCACAGTGACTCACGTCTCTAATCCTAGCACTTTGGGAGGCTGAGGTGAGAGGATTGTCAGAGCCCAGGAATTTGAGAACAGCCTGGGCAACATGGTGAGACTTCGTCTCTATAATAAATAAAAAAATTAGCTGGGCATGGTGGTGTACACCTGTTGTCCCAGTTACTCAGGAGACTGAGGTGGAAGAACTGCCTGAGCCCAGGAGGTTGAAGGCTGTGGTGAGCCGTGGTCATGCCATTGCATTCCAGCCTGGATGACAGAGTAAGACTCTGATTCAAAACATAAAAATAAATAAAATTGCCACTCTCCCTTACCCACTGACTCCAGCCACCCCTCCTCTATCACTACTGCTTCTCTCCCATCGTGGTGTCATCACCAAACACATGATATCCTTTTGGTTGTTGTTGGAATCTCACTCTGTCACCCAGGCTAGAGTGCAGTGGCACACTCACAGCCTCTGCAGCCTCAACCTGCTGGGCTCAGGTGATCCTTCTACCACAGCCTTCCAAGTAGCTGGAACTACAGGCACACGTCACCCCATTCAGCTAATTTTTTGATTTACTGTAGAGATGAGGTCTTGCCAAGTTGCCCAGGCTAGTCTCAAACTCATGGGCTCAGGCAATCCTCTCACCTCAGCCTCCCAAAGTGCTGGGCTTATAGGTGTGAGCCACTGTGCCTGGCAAGTTTGTGGGAGGTGGGGGGCACATGGGATTTCCAGGCAGTCTCTCATCTTAGTACAAACCACACCCAACCCTGCTTAGCTTCCCAGTTCAAGCCAGATCTGGTGCATTCAGGCTGCTATGGGCCTGGACTATCCTTTCTTCACATGTGTTTTGCTGACTTCCTTTCTCCACTAAAACAGAAGCCTCACATGACTAGAGATTTCTGTTTGGTTCACTGAGTCCAAGTTCTTGGATTAGGATTGAGATGGAAGAGAATGAACAAGAGGCCAGTTTATGGACTTTGAATTCTTGAAAAACATCCTAAAATGACAGGAAAAGGAGTGGCATAGCTTGATGTCACCAGAGTCCTTGAGCGTGGGGGCCCTTCTTCTGCCTGAAGCCTGGGAAAGGTAATTCTGACTATTTTAGAAGGTACCATTTCCAAAAGCATCGTGTTTAACAAAGGTGATGGCCTATCCTGGAGATGAGCCCTCTGAACCTTGATGTAGGCATAAAACCAACTGCTGTAGGAGTAGAAACCCAGATCAAGAAGAGTGAGAGAGGCTGACAGAGATTGCTGGAGGTTGCATTCGCTTGCTTTGGCTTTGTATCAGGTACAAAGTACAACTGCCTGAGTGGCTTATACAACAGAAGTTTTATTGTCTCACATTTCCAGAGGCAGAGTTCAAAGGAGGTGACAGGGTTGGCTTTTCCGAGGTCTGTGAGCGGGAAATGACTCCATGCCTTTCTCCTAGCATCTGGTGTTTTGCTGACAATCTTGGGCATTCCTTGGTTTGTGGAAGTATCGCCCAGATCTCTGTCTTCATCTTCACATGGCTTTCTCTCTGTGTGTGTGGCTGTGTCCAAGTTTTCTCTTTTTGAAAGGCACCAGACTTATTGGATTAGGGCCCACCTTAACAACCTCCTCTTAATTCAATGAATTACATCTGCAATGGCCCCATTTCCAAATAAGATCACATTCTGAGTTGCTGGGACTTCAACATAGGAACAGGAGGTAGGAACAAGAAACACAATCCAATCCATTACCAGGTCTAGCACTTACAGTAAATTGTATTTTCAAGAGGAAAACTGCCTGACGGCTGTTGGGTTAAACTAAATTATGCTGCAGTAACTGCCAATCTCAACGATCAGTGGCTAAATACAACAAATGCTTATGTTTCACTCATGCTAACACCACTGAGGGTTGCAGGACCTTCCAGGACAGCTGTCTTCCACGCCTTAGCTCAATGACCCAGACTGCTTTGCCTTCTGGTTCTACCAGGAGGGGCGGGGATGGGCTGGGGGGTTGCACCCCGTTATTCCCTTGTTGGAAAACCTGGAAGTGATCTTTGACACTGCCGCTCGTGTATAACCAGCCAGCAGCAGTCTCCTGGGCCTGTGTCCTTGCAAGGGGCTCCAGGGAGTGGGGAAACGATGGAATGTTTACGAGCCTCTGCTACCATGGCTTTTGTAGGACTGGTATCGTCAAGTGTTTACTTAAGGCCGTGGAAACTAAATCCTTGGAGAGCAGGGAAAAAGATATTTACTTTATGAATTAAGGCTGGAGTCACCATGTCCTTGAAGGCTGAAGGAAGATGAGCATTAGATCCAGGGAGCATGAATCAACCCATCTCCAAACAGGAAAGGAGAGGGGATAAGGTAAGGCAATGTTTTCAGGGGAACTTCAAGGGCAGTCTATGGCTTTTTCCATGTTTAGAAACTCTTAGAGACAGGGAGGAGAAAGAAAAGAAAGAGAAGGAAGAAGAGACGGAGGATGCACTGACACAAGTCAGTGGGAAGGGAAATCTGTCCCATGAAACCCTCTCCCAATGGACTCTGGGGTCCCCAAGGGCAGGACTAGGGTAGGCCCTCATCCTCCCAAGAGGCCTACACTGGTGCTGGAACATTGTAGAGACTTAGTATGTGCTTACTGTGAATGAATAATTGATTGATTGAATGAATGACAAGAAATGCCCTCTTTTCTATTCCCAAGGGCCACATTGAGCAGAAGAATGATCCTTTTGGGTGTGCAAATGAGTCCACAACAGACAGTCCTTGACCCCTTGGAAACGGTTGCAGGGAGGTGACTGACTGGTGGTCACACCCAGCATCGGTTATGGGAATTTGCTCAAGCAGGAGCTAAGTCACGGAAGACTGCAAAATGGCCTGAAATGTGTTCTGGCATCAGCTCGTGGCAAGTAAGGTTTTCCAGACCTCAACTCTGTCCTGTCAGCTGATGAGGGGAAGGAAAGGGGATTACCCAAGGGCATGGGCGGCCAATCCAGAGTCCACCAACTGGCCACGCCCACCCCCATTCCCATGCTTCACCAACCCCAGCCTCCCAGAGGAAACAGCTATTTAAGGGGAGCCAGGGTGTAGAACAAATATGACAGTCACCTGGACGTGCAGCTCCGGCGTCTGCTGAAAGGTAAATAGCAAGAAGTTAATGCCCCATTAAGAGCATAAGAATCCTGCTTATCTGCTGCCTTTGAGAGTGGCTATGTTGTGCCTGTGTGTGCATGTAGGATGTGTGTACCTAAGCATGCATGTGTGTGATTTGGTATGTACAAGAGGGCGTCCATGCAAGTGTGTTGTGTTGTGTGGGTATGTGAGTATGGTATATGAGAAGATGTCTGCACTAGCAGGTGAGTACCAGAGTGTGTGCGTGTGGACATACATGTGTAAGCATGTATGTGCTTGGGAATGTGTATGTGTGAAAGGGGTAGGAAAGCCTCAGAAAGGGAGGGTGCAGCTTTAGTGCCGGAGTAAAACATTAAGGTTGAGACTCTTTGGGTGACTTAGAGACTCCAATCCTTGAACCCACTGTGGGGGCATGCAAGCTATGTCTAGTGGGGGGACACATCTCTGATCTCTGGAAGCTCCCAGTTAGTTGCAACCCAGACCAAGGAACTCTCGGTCTGAGAAGGCACATGGGGGGTTTCATGAATGTATCATGTGTGGTCTCCACAGGTCCTGGGGCCTGATGTGTGTGAAACCCTTTCACAGAGCTACGAGTGGTCAAAAGGTGGAGCATGTGTGTGTGGCTGGAGGGCACTCCTTGTGTGCTCAGGGTGTGACAGAGAAAGTCACCTGAGATGTAGTCTGGAATAGGAAGGACATGTCTGTGTGCCCCAGGGCTGCCAAGCCAAAACAGGAGAGCAGGGGCTGGCACAGAAGCTGGGACAACCCAGGAGAAGAGCTAGGCCAATCCACCTGCATTTGTCCCCAACAGAACTCTCACCATGAAGACCCTCCTGCTACTGGCAGTGATCTTGGTTTTTGGTAAGAGCTGACCCTGATCTCTGAACATGGGGAAGCAAAAGAGATTACCCATGCCCCTGGGTAATCCCCTTTCCTTCCTCTCATCAGCTGCAGCAGTCCTCTCTCAAGGGGGTGAGGAAAGAAGCCATCAGGGAGAAGGGATAGTAGCAAAGAGAAGCAGAGAGGGAGGACACAGGGCCCCATGTCCATCTCCAGGTGATTCCCAAGTCTCCTTCCAGGCATACTGCAGGCCCATGGGAATTTGCTGAATTTCCACAAAATGATCAGGTTGACGACGGGGAAGGAAGCTGCATCCAGTTATGGTTTCTACGGTTGCCACTGTGGCGTGGGCGGCAAAGGATACCCCAAAGATGCAACAGATCGGTGAGGCCACCCATCCCTCCCTGCTCTCCCTCACTCTGGCCCAGGAAGGGCTGGGTGCTTCAAGAACAGTGCTGGTGGCCCATGGACGCAGAGGTCTCAGGAGGTCCCAGCTGGAAAAGCAGACTTCATGTTGGAACCTCTGCTCTAGACTGTTCCAAAGTCACTGAGTCTCAGAATCTAGGGGATGAGACCACAGGCACCAGGCCTCTTGGAGTTGTGGGATGATAGCCCCAATATGGTGTCCTCCTCACAGGTGCTGTGCCATTCATGACTGTTGCTACAGCCGTCTGGAGAGACGTGGATGTGGTACCAAATTTCTGGGCTACAAATTTAGCAACAAGGGGAGCCAAATCACCTGTGGTAAGAAAGTCTTACAACACCACTGAGTGTGCCTCATTTGTTTATACAGTGCCAGTGACTGTGTTGGGTACCAGAGATAGACACACAGAGGGACATAACCCCTGCCTTGGGAAGCTCACAGTCTAGTGGGAAGTCAGGAAAATGAAAGTCCAATGTGGTAAATACTCCAGTGGGAAGTAAACAAATAGATGCTGACTTAATACAGCCTGAGCTGACTTAATACAGCCTGAGGCTCGAGGGAGTTGGTTACTGGAAGGCGGTAGTCTCTATGCTGAGTCTTACAGACTGTGCCAACAATCAGGAAGGAGGAGTGCTAGGGGCATTCCCAGAAGAGAACATGGCATGGTGGAAGGCGCCGAAGGGCACTCACTGTATGCCACTCTGTGCTGCCCAGTGGAAGCGTGAGGAAGTAGTGGTGAGTAATGATGCTAGGAAGGGACTACATTTCAGGCCAGACTGTATTTAGGCCTAAGTCAATAAGTAGCTATCAAGCAAAGGAGTGACATGGTCAGCTTTGCATTTCAGAGGACTGACTGGCTGCAGGATGGATGAAAACAGGCTGAAGGGGGGCCAGAGAAGGCTATTGCCGTAAGTGCTATAATGCAGAAAAGAGAGAGTGACAGCTTAACTTCAAACAATGGAGGAGGGAAAAGTTTGGGAAGGAAATCAAGATGCATCTGAGGTGGAATCAGCTGAGCTTGGTGATTGGCTAGGGAGGGAGTGGGAGAGGGAGATGTCAGGTGTGTGGATTGCACAACTGCCATAAAGACCACAGAAGTAGGTCTCGGTGGAGGGTGAGACGGAGCGGTTCTCTTTGAGCATATTGGGCTTAGAGGTCTCCCAAATACCCAGGGAGGAGTTCAGCAGGCAGCTGCACGTGCAAATGTGCCCCTCACGGGCAGAGTCGGGACTGGGGGCCCAGATCCAGAAGCCAACAGCACAGAGCTGAGAGGTGGGCGTGCTCACCCTTTTCCTGTTTCAAGGCCCAGAAAGGGAAGGACAGAAAGAGAGGAGAACTGAACGACAAGGTCAAAGCATCTGTAAAGAGATGATTGGCAAGGGCCAATCCAGCAGGAGTCCACCATGATAAGCACCAACAAGGCTCCTCTGGACTTTGAGGCGGGAAGGCCATGGGGGACCTTAGTGGAAGCTGTGTCCACAGAGTGGTGGGGGCAAAGTCTGAGCAGAGCAGGCAGGAACCTAATGGGAAAGGAAGTAGAGACAGCAAGTGTAGACAACGATCTGAAGAAAGTTTGACCCTGAAAGGGAGAAGAGAGATGTGTGGTCCTGGAAGGGTTAGTGTCCCTAGATGGCAGATCCATAAGTGGGATTTGGGAGAGAGCATGAACTCCCACCACAACCTAAATTCTTTAAGATCAGAAATCCCCAGCTTCCATCATGGCCTCCATAGGACAGGCATCTTCAGCAGGCTTTAGGTCACAAGCATCAAGAGTCCCAACCCACGGTAGCTTGCATAATGGGGATGTGTGACTCCCAGCTAACTAGAATTCTGGAAGAGGGCAGTGCCAGGTCTGTGGCAGCTTCTCAGTCATGGACCCATCATCAAGGACCCAATCTTTTCCCAGCCTTCAGCTATGCCAAGTGGGCTGCTCCATGCCTCCTGGCCTCACACTACAAAAGGCTTCCCCCTTGTGCATTTTTCTTTTTGGAGGGAGGAAATTGATCCTTCCTGGAAACCCCTGGCCGACTTCCCCTGATGGCCCATTGGCTGGAACAAGGTCACATGCTATGGAGAAGCCAATCACTGTAAAGGAAGAAGGGATAACCCTGCCTGGCTTACAATCCATTCCCAGACCTCAGACTCCGCCACCTGGATACATCTGCTAGGAAGAAAGAGATGCTGTCTTTAAGAGGGTCTCCCAGTGCTTGGTTGTGGTGTGTCCCCATCAGACCAAAGGCTAGCCTCCCAAGGACAGGAATGCTGTCTTTCCACCAGTCAGAAATATGGAGTGTAGGTGCTTGTTTTGGACTAGGAGCTTCAGGAGGATGAGGCCGTGTCTTCTTCTCCTGGCTTCCCACAAGAGGCCATAGAGTATTAACAACCCCCCATCCGGTGTTTATTTTCTTGTGATTTCAGCAAAACAGGAATCCTGCAGAAGTCAACTGTGTCAGTGTGACAAAGAAGCTGCCTACTGTTTTGCTAGAAACAAGAAGACCTATAATAAAAAATACCAGTACTATTCTAACGGAAAGTGCAGCGGGAGAACCCCCAGTTGCTGAGAGCCCCTTCTTCTCTGGAGGCCTTGCCACCCAATGCTGTTTTCTTCTGTCACACCCTCCCTCCCTCCTGTAGCCAAGTTCCTTGGCAATGAAGGAAACACCCTCTCCCATCTTAGAGGCAAGCCAAGAGCCCTTCTAACCCCAGCCACAGTGAGACGTCCAGAGCCTGGGCATGTGCGACTGGCCCCTTTTCCTGGCTTCCCTGGGCAGGAGATTCCAATCTTTCCACTGTTCTTCTCCAGGGCCACTTCCTGCTTAGCAGTAGCAGCTACCCTCCTGGGGTTCTCTTCTGAATAAAGCTTTCATTAGCATGTTGTGTATATATGTGTGTGTGTGTGTGTGTGTGTGTGTGTGTGTGTGTGTGTGTGTGTGTGTGTATGTTCGCTCTGCACTAGTGGTAGGTACAAGGAGTAGAGGCTTAAATATAGGCTTTGAGCCTGTGTAGTGACCTGTCCCTGTTGTCCCAGCTACTTGAGAGGCTGAGGTGGGAGGATTGCTTGAGCTCCAGAGTTCAAGGCCAGTTTGGGCCACATAGTGAGATCCTGTTTCTTAAAAACAAACAAGCAGCTGGGCGCTGTGGCTCACACCTGCTGGCATCCCAGCACTTTGGGAGGTGGAGGCAAGAGGATTGCCTGAGCCCAGGGGTTCGAGACCAGTCTGGACAACTTGGGGAGATCTTGTTTTGATGACAAGTCAAAAAAAACTTAGCAGGGCATGGTGGTATGCGCCTGTAGTTCCAGCTCCTTGGAAGGCTGAGGTGGAAGGATCACCTGAGCCCAGCAGGTCTAGGCTGCAGTGGCCGTGAGTGTGCCACTACACTCCAGTCTGGGTGACAGAGTGAGACCCGACACAAAAAATAAACAAACAACAAAAGGCTCTGGAGACAGATTGGCTGCATCATCTGCCCTCCCCTGACTCCCTCAGTCTTAGTTCTCTCCTCCAAATGGAGATAACTTTGGTGTCTCCTGCATGGGCGTGTTTGAGAGTTAGGATAACAAATGAAAAGCCCAGACATGTCTACAGCTGCCATGACTATCACAAGGGAAACACAAACATCTCCCTCTCCTTCCTGAGCAACAGCAGCTCCTACTGGCCTGCCGGAGGAAGACAGGACACCCATCTTGATTCAGGGAGCTGTAGCCTACCCCTTCTGCGTGAGATACTCTGCTCCTGTGTTGCCAGTCTGGTAAGAGGAAAAGTGGGACCATGGAACGCTGGCCACCAGCTGGACCCTCGGGGTGTTACCCCTCACCAGGGCTGGTTTCCTGAGCATGCAACCCTTGCAGTCCCATAGGGGTCCCTGCTCTGAAGAGTGCTACGTCTGGTTTAATTCTTTTACTGTAGTCCTCTGGAAATTTTTATTAATCTTTATTTTTTAATTTTTATTTTTTGTGTCAGGTCTCACTCTGTCACCCAAACTGGAGTGCGGTGGCACAATCACAGCTCACGGCAGCCTCAACCCCCTAGGTTCAAGTGATCCTCCTGCCTCAGCCTCCCCAGTAGCTGGGACTACAGGCATGCACCACCATGCCAGGATAATTTTTTGATGTTTTTTGTAGAGACGAGGTCTCATTGTGTTGCCCAGATTGGTCTCGAACACCTGAGATCAAGCAATCCTCCCATCTCAGCCTCCCAAAGTGCCAGGATTATAGGCGAGACCCACCACACCCAGCCCTTACTAATTTTTTTTTTTTTTTAGTTGGAGTCTCACTCTGTGGCCCAGGCTGGAGTACAGTGGCACACTCATGGCTACCACAGCCTCCACCTGCTGGACTTAGGTGATCTTTCCGCCTCAACCTTCCAAGTAGTTGGAACTATAGGCGCATGCCACCACGCCCAGCTAGTTTTTGTGATTTATTGTAGAGACGAGGTCTCACCAAGTTGCCCAGGCTGGTCTCATACCCCCAGGACTCAGGCAATTCTCTCGTCTCAGCCTCCCAAAGTGCTGGGATTACAGGCTGACCCACAGTGCCTGGCCCCTTACTAATCTTTAATCAAGGGGTCCTGCATTTTCATTTTGCATTGAGCCACACAAATTACATAGCTGATCCTACCCTCACTGTAGCTGCCCTCACCTCACCTACTTCCCCTCCTGCTGTCCAGAGTTTTACTGGGAAATTCCCGACTGGACCAGCTACAGTTCCACCTGTTTCCCTAATAACCACCGCCTGGGATGCTGGGTGTGTATCCCTTCACAAAGGCTCCCTGCACAGGGGACACAGGTGAGAGAGTCTGAAGAGCCCATTAAGCTCTGCTTTCACCCAGAGGAAGTGCCTTCTTGAAACCTGTCTTCCAGAAGGAGCACCTTTTTCTAATTTTGTTGCAAATGTTTCATTTGCTGGAGGTAGCCCTTGTCGTATTCACTCTCATGCATAGCAAGAGAAATGCAAATTAAAATTCCTCTGAGATGCCATTTTTATCTCTTACAATGGATAAAAACTCTTAAGTATGACAACCTGCTGTACTGGCAAGCCTGCATGGGGAACACGAGCGCTCTCATAGCCAGCTTGTGGGTGGGCAAAATGCCCACAGATGGCAAATTGGCAATATCTATCAAAATTATAAATGCATTTATCCTTTCATTCAGCAACCACACTTTTTTTGAGTCGGAGTCTCACTCTGTCACCAGGCTGGAGTGCAGTGGCACACTCACAGCTAGCCCAGCCTTGATCTGCTGGGCTGAGGAGATCCTTTCAGCCTCAGCCTTCCAAGTAGCTGGAACTACAGGTGTGCACTATCATGCCCAGTTTATTTTTTGATTTATTGTAGAAATGAGGTCTCACCAAGTTGTCCAGGCTGGTCTCAAACTCCCAGGTCCAGGTAATCCTCTCATCTCTGCCTCCACAGTGCTGGGATTACAGGCTGAGCCATTGCACCCAGCCCAGCAATCCCACTTCTTAGAAATATATACTATGAGCGTGCATGCATGCACACGCATGCGTACACACACACACACACACACACACACACACACACACACACATGTTATGCATAAGCATGTTTGTTCATTGTAACCTTATTCTGAATTGGATTGAAAATAGCCCAAACATCTGTGTTGAGAGGAGTAGTTAAGTAATGGTATCAGCTCAGTAAGGAATTCAGTGCATTCATTTAATGAGGGAATCTTTCTGTTTCAATGCAGAAAAGTCTTCAGGACATGATAGCAAGGGAAGAAAGCAAAGAAGAGAATGTATAAACGCTATGCCACGTCTATGCAGGAAAATACATCTGGGAATATGTTTTTGTTAATATTTCCAGAAACACCGAAAAAACATGCAGGAAATTCATTAAAATGGTTACCTATAAGAAGCAGGGCTGGCAAGAAATGAGGTTGGCACCGATATAGTGAGAGGAAGATTTTTTTTTATATATATAACTTTCTACGTTGTTTTGGTTTTTCCTATTCAAAAGAAAATTAACATCATCAAACACACACAAACATTCCTGTCTCCAAGACAGATAGTAATTCCTAGAGACAATATAGCCTGACCCAGGGGTCCCCAACCCCCAGGTTGTGGACCAGTACCCGTCTGTGGCCTGTTAGGAGCTGAGCCACACAGCAGGAGGTGAGTGGTGGATAAGCAGAACTCTGCCTTCTGTCAGATCAGCTGTGGCATAAGGTTCTCATGGGAGCATGAACCCTATTGTGAACTGCAGACACGAGGGATCTAGGCTGTGTTCTCCTTATGAGAATTTAATGCCTGATGACCACCTTCACCCCAGTCTGTGGAAAAACTGTCTTCATGAAACCAGTTCCTGATGCCAAAAAGTTGGGGACCTCTAGTCTAACCCATGGGTTGGTAAACTATGGCCTGTGGGCCCCATCTAGTCACTGCCTGGTTTTGTTGAGTACACAATATTAAAATGTTTCTTGCATTTTTTAATGGTTGAAAAAAATCAGAAAAAGAATTTTTGATGCATTAAAATGATATAAAAATCACATTTTAATGGAAATAAAGACTTTTTGGTGACACACCATGCTGTGTGAGTTTTCTGTATTCTGTATGCTGGCTTTCATGCTACAATAGCAGAATTGAATCATTGCCACAGAGAGCAAATGGCATTTCCAGAAAGAGTTTGCCAATCCCCTGTATAATTAGTGTTTCTCAAACTATTCATGGTGATGGATCAGTTCATCCTGTATTTTTTCCAAATCTGTCTCATATTAATACTTTTGTTAAATAAAAGATATACAAAACACAAACCTTAATGTTTTATTATCAAATTCACTAAACATAAAAATTACTCTGTCAGCTGGGAGCAGTGGCTCACGCATGCCTGTAATCCCAGCACTTTGGGAGGAGGATGGGAGAGGATTGCCTAAGCTCAGAGGTTCGAAATCAGCCTGAACAACATGGTGAGACCTCATTTCTATAATAAATAAAAAAATCAGCCAGGTGTGGTGGTGCATGCCTGTGGTTCCAGTTATTTTGTAGGCTGAGAAGGAACAATCACCTGAGCCCAGCAGATCGAGGTTGCGGTTGCCGTGAGCGTGTCACTGCACTCCAGCCTGGGCAACAAGAGTGAGACTCCAACTCCAAAAAAGGCGTCAGGATCTCTTAAAAAACTGCAGACCAGAGTGCAGTAGTGCAATCATAACCCACTGCAGCCTCAAACTCCTGGTCTCAAGCAATCCTCCCAACTCAGCCACCCAAGTAGCTGAAACTATAGGTGGGCGCCACCACATCTGGCTTCAAACTTTGTGCTTTTTAACTAAACATTTAAGAATGTTTTCAGTATGAGTCTTTGTGTGCAAAATTTTGGAGACTGTCTATTCCTGAGAGCATTTCTTTTACAACTTCACATTGAATAACATTTTGGAAACATATAATTATCCTTCGTTCAGTGTTGTTTTTTTCTTTTTTACCATAGAAGGATTCCTTCATTTCTTCTTACATTGAGTATTGCTTACATTGAGAAGTCTGACATTAATCTAACTTCCCATCTTTGGTTTGTTGTCTGCTCTGTCTCTTCTGGAATCCTTAGAATTTACCTCTTTGTCTTTGAGGTTCCTAACTTTTACTACAATGTGTCTAGTTGACAGTTTTTCTTTTCTTTCTGTTTTTGTCTTGTTTTTGATGTTTGTTTGTTTGAGACAGGGTCTCACTCTGT